ATATATATAATCGTACCAACTAAAACATGAGGTGGCCTGGTGCACCACATTGAGTTGATTAAAAGCACCATAAACGAGAGATTCAGCTGAGTTCCAGGTGAATCTCCCGCTTGCTTCGTCACATTTTTAAGGATTACGTGGACTATGCTTCGTTTGCTAGTCAAAGACGTTCACACGTGAGAGGACGGGCTGTTTTAGTACACTTAGGGGGGTTTCAACCGGGTGAAACTCAGAATTAGAAATTGGCTAGTCCAGCGACTTCAATCGATAGAAGCCAGCTTTTGATTTGAGAAGTGGAAGCCACTTGTTCACACGCTTCGTCCACCTGTTCAGTGGAGACAATCAGAGGCACTAATACATCTTTGGATATGGATGTTCGCATCTGGATATTATTGGACGTGGAATGATCCCATAGTTACCAATAAGTGACTCAGATAAATAATAATTCCCCAAGATTAGTGAAACTTCCGTCTGAGAAGTTGCCACTCGAGGAGCCATCCAATACATGACCACGTGATGTGGTTTCTACGATTGGAGGATGAGCGGCGCTATGCCCTGCCTAAGTGGGAGCTACTCATAGCGCTCTTCTGCCGTTCAGGGCTGATTGGTCAAGTAAGTGACCACTGGCCGGAAGGCCACAGGTTCTAGTCTCTCTAGGCGATCTACTGATGAATCCCGATAGGGATGAAAGAGTTGTGCAATGCTTCCAGGCTTCATTCACAAGAGAATACTTCACTTGACAATTATCGGTTGTTTTTAAGCTGCTGATACCGTCGTAAATCCCGGGTTTGTTTTTTGTGGGACCTGTCTTCTGCTGACTAAAAATTTCATCCACTAAGAATGGGTTATAACAAGAAACACGGCTGGCCTCGTAACTTTCCCGCATAATATATGGATGGCCCCATAAACAGGCTATTTATTTCCATCCCAGTCTCCCATCCGCAAGCAAAGAACTTCGGTACTGTGACAAAACGTGCTTCGGCGAAACGAGTTCTGGTGGACGATAAAATGAATCGGTGGCCATCATAATTGCCTCATAAAATAGATGGGTAGCAACCGAGGGTGATCGCCTTTGAATTTCAATACTGTGAAATTTTAGCTTCTTCTATTTATTTAACGTAGCTATCACATATCGCTCGATGGCATGGACTACGCGAATTTCGATTATTCCTTCCTCACTTTCACATCCCAACAAAAAACAACCGTTCAGCTAAGTCTCATTTTGTTGCCCCGCTGCAGCGCAACTGGTAAAGAGCATCAGATACTGCCAGGTTGCCCAAACACAGATAGAAGCAATCGAAAGACAGGGGATGGGTCCGAACTCCGTGAGTAGTCTCGAGGATTAACACGTGAGCTACCCGGAGTTGAACATTTCAAACGTAGGATGTTGGATGTGAGCTGGATTACTAACATACCAACCACCGGGTCATGAGACCAATCAAATATATCATGTTTAAAAGATATATACCCAGACCTGTTGCTAGGTGTACAGAGCAGAGGAGTAAGCCTTGGTTGAGCACAATAACCTATACCATTATCGCTTTCTGAAATTCGACGCCCGCCTATGCTATCATGCCTATTTGATTTTGTCATGTGCATGGCTTTTTCCAACTCTGTGCAGTGGGTTAGTCTTCCTGAGTCCTAGTTATGAAAAAGGATTACTACGGATATTGTAGTCTCCGTTAGGAGACTGTAGTGGCCATTTCCAAGCGTCTTTTACTTGCCGTTCTGTTGTGTTGCACATCACCGCCCACCGGTGCCTCGGTCGCCCCGTCCCCGTCAGTCAACGCGTTCTCCCTAAAGCAATCCGGAAAAACCTGGTGACAGAAATTTTCAGTCGTTTTTTCACGCAATTCCGTCCGCGCAGTCACTCCCCAGGTTACCATTCGGTCATGTTCAAATCTGAGCAACAATGTCATGCGTCATCTTCGAGCTGACACAGATGATTTATCAATAGGTCAGTTAAGGAGCATGCGTTGCATACCAAGTGTCGTCAGCTCGTCTACATTCTTTTTGAGCTAGAGGAATATTACCAAATGAATGGCGTGCAAGTCTAAGGTCGCAGGCCTACATTCCGGGGCAGTGTTTTTACTCTTTTTGACTTTCATCCCAAACAGCACCAGAGTACTCTTTTCGTTCAAACTCGAAATTACTGTCTTTTATCGAGAAAAAGTAGTCATAGAACCGGGCGTCAGCTGATCTTCGAATTGGGTAACTTCGTTCAGCTGTAGTGCCCTTTCGGTGCCTACCTGCCATGCCACCCGAAGGTTGCACGAGGGCTGGAATACTGCCAGGTTGCCCAAGCCCAGACAGGGGAAGTCGAGAGTCAGAGGTCGGGTTCGAACCACGGACCTTCCGGTCAGTAAATTCGCGCTTTAATCGCTTTGGGTAACTTAAGGTGAATAGATCGAATAGGATATGTGAGGTGAAGTTGAAATGCAATAGAAGAGCAAATGTAATCCAGTTTCAAGATGGACATTTTTACTGGCAAGCACCAGCAAGTAATATCTGGACTGATACCTGTTAGAACACATCAAGATGAAGCGGGCGAGACTTACAAAGTCTGAAAGGAGAACGACAGAATTCTTAATCAACCTGTGCTTCAGCCAAGGAGATGGTGGGACATTTTCTGCACACCTTTGTTGAAAACATGGGGTCCGTATACCCTTTTGAGATACGCTGCAGTGCTTGTCGCGTCCGTGGCAAGGCAGACTAACCATCCCCAAAAGTACCCTTAGTTTGTTCATTTCAAAATCAACCAAATCTACTTTCATCTTCTAAGAACTGGCATTTCTCTTTCTGCGCCTTATAGGACTCCACAAGATCTGCAGCACGTGCATCACGAATCCTCACAACCTATGGTGAAGTTAGTTACTGAAGGACAAAACTCTACTTTTACTTGTCTTAAAACGAAATGTTCTGGACAAAGGTTGACAGATAGTAAGGCAAATTAGTCGGTCACTGTCGAACTATCTGGAGTGAAACGGTATCGGGAACACGATTGTCTGGCTCACTGTGGTAAGAGTGCGTTTTCTGAGGGTAAACGGATGAATCGCCAAAAACGAGGGTATGGAACGCAGCGCCGTTACAATCGTTTAGTGTTCGCGTCGTTTTCCATTGGCCCTGGATGACTTGGATACTGTAATCGTTCATTCTACCAAGACCGGTATTTGGTTCAGCATCCTCAAGTCCTGGCTTGGTATGAATTGAGATGTTCTCAACGGTTTCAGTAATGTGATTATGCTGAATTCTGTGTTGTCGTAAACGTTTATTCGACGCGTGGGAAACAAGAAGTGTCAGGGGGGAGGGCAAAGGTCCCGTTATTAGTACATGCATAAATAAAGCGATGGATAGCATCATATGAAAAGATGTTTGGTTCTGTTCGAGGTGAATTCATCAGTAGGTCTTTGTAAAGCGGGGCGGTGTTAATGATTGTGCTCGGATGGTCTGATTCACTTTATTTCTTATCGAGATCTGCCTGGACTTTCTACGTCAAGTCGAGTGTGATCAATCAGCTGCCTGGTTGCGGCAAAGACGGAGTGGTCGTATGATTTTGTCTCAGTTATTTATCGTTTTTACCACAATCGGGTACCTCCCAGAAGTTGACGCGTGAAACCCGTTTGCACTGTTTATTTACCTACAGATCTTTCGGGTTATCGGATCACATAAACACGCGTTTTGTTTGAAAAGTGAGGCGATCGTATAATCTTGTCACATTGGGTTGCTACTTGGAACTTATCTGATCATCTGTCCTGACGCCGACGCTCGGTTTCAAGAATGTCGGTAGCTCGTATCTCCCGTGTGACGAACGCAGCTGCGTTTTTTTATATTTCGTGGAATGAAGCAAACTGTCCTGCTTGAAATACCAACAACAAATTATGAGTGCGAATCACTGCGTTCGCTCAGACTGACTGGTGTGCGGTGTGATAAGCAGTGATTTGAGCCAAATAACCGTCCCGAAATCTCAAACGCAAAAACAAAAGTTCCACAATACTAAGCACTATAATAACCCTACTGAACAACATTTTACACTTTTTGGCTATCTGTCAAAGAGATCGGGTGGTTTTGAAAAATGCAATCAGAACAAATCTGAGGGGGGAAGTAATAACTAATGAACAAAAAACGAGACTAAACTCAATTTAGAGCAAAATTCGACAAGGTGAGAAGGGCAAAAAGCCGCATCTTAACCAGAACCAGGGCGACAATGATAAGACTGTCAGATTAGGTCCGAAAACGACTAGAAAGGCTATGATGATTTGGAATAATCGTAAATGCGCGCACACACACATTAGGCAAGATTCCCCTCTGGTTGAATTAACTTTTCTTCCACGTCTAGCAACGGAGTACAGAAGTGCAGCGCCGAACGGCAAACGAACGTAATACTGAACAGAAGAACCACGAGACAGAGGAGACAAATGATTGTGGTCAAAGTGGCAATAAACAAACCATTCTGGAAAACAGAGGATCTTGAGTCACCTAACTGAAAAGGTACAGAGTTTGAGGGTGCTTCTGAACTTTGGAGAGCTGGTCGTAATGTGCTCAGTGAAGCAATCAGTTGATGCGAATACAGTTGATCAACTGGAATACCTCGATATAACGAGGACGGCTTGATGCGAGGTCCGAACAAGAACAGTGGTACGTGCATATCTGGATGAGTTGTATCGTAGCCATGAGCACCCTTCAGTGAGGAGAGGTTGGTATGACTCAGATCCAGAGGCCAAAACTCTGAGATGAAGACAAAACCAGGTTTGGCAACCAGCAAAATAGGGGGAAACAAGGTGCCCCCAGAGTGCCACTCAGCTGGAATGCTCTCATTCAAGTACATCGAGAACCGCTTGATCCGGGGTGAGCTGAGCCTAAGTAGAATCTGGAAGAGAAAAACGGTATAGCAAGCATCACATCACTAGTCTTTAGCGGTGGACAAGTGTCCTCCAAAAGACTATCACACATTTTGCAGAAGGCGCACTCTTGGCATAAAAACTATCCACATTAGAAACAGAATCCCGTTAAACTTACAGCTGTAAATGTGACACTCGAAGGTACCCAGTGAGAGATTAGTAGAAGTGAAAACAAAAATAAACAATCCTGCAGCCATAGCACCCTTTCGATACTGAGCTGCTATGCCACCCGAAAGAAGCACGAGGGTTAAGATAGTGCCAGGTTGTTCAAGCCTAGGCAGGAGCAGTCGAGATGCCGGGGTTAGGCTCGAACCACTAACCTTCTGATCAGTAAGTTCGCGCCTTAACTACTGAGTCCGAAAAGCGTTGTGGTGGACGCTCAGCGTGCAAATGATAAGTACTGTGGTGTGGTGATGGAAAGGTATGGAAAAAGGAGGAGCGACTTTAGAGTTTTGATACACGAAGATACTATTTCTGTTATGGGAAATTGAATTGAGGACACCAGTGTCATGAATGGGTGCGAAACTTATGGCCGATTACTTTAGTTAGTTTACAAAAGTAACAGGTCCCATGCGATGCATTCAACAGCCTTGTGTATGATGAACTTGCGTTTTGCAGTTTCGATGACAGTCTTGTAGGAGATGCGGTCAGAATGGATGGAAAGGGAAAGATCACTGGGCCAACGTTTATACATGTGATTTCTGTTAGCAGCAACACGGAAGACAGTATGATCAAACCACCTAGGAGAAAAATGTTCACAAGGGTATGAACATACGCACGCTGTGGGCAAGGACTTCCGTGAATCTTTCGGAAAATATACAGGTGGCGACATTCCCAAGGATATGAGATTCACGCACACCAAGCCGGCGAAGAGAACCACCAAGAAACACGCCATGAGGACGGGAACGATAGTATTGACAGCGTGGGGATAGGTGGCGAGGAGTTAGATGAGGTGGAAGAAGAAAGTAGGGTAAGTGGGGTTAATGGTGGTGAGGAAGGGGTCCAGGATATGTAGACTGCCACCGTTAAGATACAGGACGTGAGTATAGGTTAGGAAAACAATAAGCAATAGAAAAGCATCAAGCTTCGCGTTCATTCTGATCAGTGGCGGGGTTACCAACGTTGAGGTCGTCAATGGAGAATAAACAGAGACGTGTCAACATCACTGACGGAGCAACCAAGGTAGTCACTGGATTTATTAGTTCGGGCAAAAGATAACTCAAGCCAAAAACATTCAAAACTGTGGGCAACCACGCACGAATAAGTGAGTGATGGATGAGAATGCAAACCCTACCCTTAACAGGAAAACGGTTACATGGGGAGTAATTCGGCAAATGTAGATGAGTCAAGTCCGCGAATCCACGGATACAAGCTTTGAATGGACACAGGAGTAGGGGAGAACAAATAGCGACGGACTAATTAAAACAGTCTTTTGTAAACTCAGAATGCCCTAAAATGCGGTTGAGTGTTAAGAGCAGGTTTTCGCAGTACGTCGTATCAACACGATTATGCGATGTGTTGACCGGTAACCCAACGCATGGGATTGGAGTGGCGAACCACACAGACTGGACGGTAGCGTTAGCCATTTACCATTGGTTCTTGTTGTCATCAGGTCTCTTCGCGTGGTACGGTGCAGCCCAGTGCACGGATTCTGACCATCCGGAATCCCTCCTGAGTTCACAAAATGGACACTACAAACGAGTTCTAGAACGTACGGTCTGCAAAATACAGATTACCTTAAAATAAATGACATTCGGATGCTAACTCTTCTCTTCCAGGACCATTTTTAGTGAATGCAAAGGATAATATAAAAAAAGGATGTTGAGGCAAGCAACAGCGCAAAAATCACCTTCTCATGCTCCTCAGGACGGGGCCATATGGAAACAGTGCTCCCACGGTTGATGACTTTTTTGACTTGGTGGCTATGGAAAACCGAAAGGAAAAGAAGAGAAAGTAGGGTAGGTCAGAGGAGATTATGGACGGAGCTCTTCGCTAAAAAGGTATGTCCCTTTTGAAGAAGAAAGGCATTTGCGTAAAGCGATTGTTCTGCATGGACAAAAAGTTCTGCAAACTATGCGACCACTCGTGAGTAGCCAAAATTATAAGCTTAACAGTCCTCGTTGAGGGACTGACGACCATCGAGCCGAGAATCACAAATTGCATAAAAAAATGGATGAGAAAACAATCAAAATCTAATGGTGGCTGTTAGGTTCCTCTGTGTGCATGTAGGCGTTGACTACTCAACGAAACAGCTATGGTTCCGCCACTGACAAGGTAGGTGGATCCGAGTGATTATTTGAGGCTATATTTCCTCTCCACACAGGGATATCTGAGGAAATAATTTCTGCGGAACTGAGTCTTCTGTTGCGAACCCTCTCCCATAACAAGAGGAACGTTCTCAGCATTGCGATATAAACTCGAGACAATTAATCCATCCGGAGAGAGAAATTGCCACAGAGTTACCATTCTTTACCAATAAACTGGATTGTAATACCAAATGTCTGATGCCACTGGCACTGTCAGTACGCAATTCCTCGACATCAACAGAGATTTGCAGTAAAATTTTGGAACGTCTCACTACCTCAGGACGGAATAGAAGGAATTAACGCATGATAGCTCAATGGTCCGCAAATTCCAAATTATGTAAATACTTCCCTTCTAGGGCCCATTTTCAGGGGATAGCATAGTGCCTGCCCGACAGGTGTGTTCCCTCATGTGATGGGTGAGTAATTATGGACACAGCGCAGGCTTCTGCAGCAGAATAAAAGTTAAGCTCTATGGAGCTGTTTAAAACAATAACTCGCGTTGTCTGAAGTTATTGTGCTAGATATGAACGACTAAGATATCCCAATGCACCGTGGTGAATCAATCTTAAGCTGCTGTTGCCTATATCACAACGGGTGAACTTGGATAAGAAGCGAAAAACAAATGCCATGTTTCACTTTCACCACTTTCAACCTGTATTGCAAGTGCATGACGTTTAAAACACCTATTTCCCTTTGCCCACTTCAGTAAAACAACTAGGTTAGGTTTGGCCTCGGACAGAGAATGCCACAGTTAGCATTTTGAACTCTGAGCTACCGTGGTTGTTGTTGGTTGCTGGAAACCAAACAGAAAACCAAACGTATTACCTGAACGTTGTCAACAAAAACAACGCATGCGTAGGAAAACAGCCAAACGGTATCTGACTATCGGTCATAACACAATGAAGTACTGCTATATTGTGTAACCTGCATGGTGCAGGTTATAGGATCGGCGCACACACCCCGAACACAAACTGATCTGTAACACCATCGGGACACGTTCATATAGTTATGGGCGAGCTTGCAACAGTCCAAACCCGGTCACTGTGCTGCAAAGAGCGAGGTGCGCAAATTTCATCACATCGTTATTGTAAGCTACAGATACAAAACTTTACAATGTCACATTGTGTCTGCCAAAAGTGTTTCTTATAAATTGGGGGACTACCTTAATTGAATGAAGTATTCAACATTTGGACTGGGTCAGATAGTATTTGTTTTACTTCAGCTGAAAATGTTCGGCCCTATATATTCATCAAGCTCCTAAGAAACAACCTGAAGATTCTGATCAAAAAACGATCTCTCCTGGAAGGTAGTCTCTCGAATAGAGTGTTCACAGTTCAAAGAAGCTTCGAGAGTTCAAAAAAAGTGGTCACTTCTCAGAGGTGATTCCCGCTGACGGGAATCAGCAGACTTCCTCCAAAAAGACACTACCCGTGCTCACTCCTTTGATATAGATATACCGTTTGCAACACATGAGTCATTATGAAATTGCCTTGAAACACTGGTGATGACAGTTTCAATTAAACATTCACTCATCCGAAAAGAAAAGATGAAATCGGAAGGACGAAAGATGTCAACTCAGGAACTAGAGCAACGAAACAAACGGATGAGCTGCAGCCCAACCAATAGTGAACGCACAGCAGGCCCGTAAAACAACCAAGTGATGGAAATTGTTCGACAGCCCACGACCAATCTCGCCCTTCTTGGGGCTCACCAGGTAGGCGCAGTCCCCGAGTTTCCGTTAACATTATTTTCTCCTTGAAACTAAATTGCACGAGATTAGCAGAATATACTCATTTGCAAACAAATTTGGTTTTGCAAGAGCATATTTGCAAACGAATGTATTTCGCCGAGTTCGTGCAATCCGGCTTCAAGTAGAACATAAGGCTAACAGAAACTCGGGGACTGCGCCTATCTGATGAGCCCCAAGAAGGGCGAAACCGGTCGTGGGCTGTCGAAGAATTTTCACGATCCTTATGAGTAGTGCATTACCTATATACATGCACCGCGATATCTCGAATATCGCAGCGACTGAAACATGAGGCGACCTGGTGCAGTGCATTCAGTTTCCTGAAAACATCACAAGCGAGAGACTCACCTGGAACCCAGCTGAATGTTCCACAAAGCCAAATTTGTTTGAAAATGAGTGCGTTTCGATAACTAAGTGGTGTTTTCGTACATATCGGACATACGGCGCACTCTATTCCATGAATTGATGTCATTAGCAGGACTATTATTGTGGCAACTTTCAGCTGGCTAGATGTGGACTGGATGTGGATTACAAGGTTTCAGCATACAGATTAATACTTCTTGACCTATGTGACGAGTGGATTTCAGTAATGACTACCCGGTTATTCTCGACACACGCAAGTGTTTCGATTGAGTCTCGCCAAAATATGAGGATCCACGGAAACAGTTAATAAATAATGCAAAATACTTGTCCAGCCGTGACATCACTTTCGGTGCATAGCTGCACGAAGGGCACAAGGGCTGCGATACTACTAGTGTAACGGTGATAATACTTATGGGGAGGCATGCGAGTAGTATGTTTTCTTCTTCTAAATTCGCTTTGCGTCTCTTGAAAAGGGAGATCTATTGCGGGATTTGTGGAGTTGCTTTGTATCATTTGCTTGGACTTGAGCAACAGTC